TGAATAGTTATATCAACACCATAGGGTTCAAATAGTTGGTGTTGGTGAATTTGTCCAAGTAGGTTAGTTAAAGTTGAGAAAGGAATTACAAGTAGTGGTTGACAACCATTTAGATACCATATTAAGTCATCTTTCACGAACATCCCTTAAATGTAATTTTTATATTCATTCAATGAGTCATCCTCAATATTTTCTCCTTCCAATTTATCTACTGCTTTCATTAATGGAGTGTCTAGTAATTGTTCTTTATAAAAGTTTATTTCAACTGGTGCAACTTTTAGTTTCATTATTTGAGCTTGATGTTCTTTTAATTCTTCATCAAAATCATTATCTAAATTATCATTCAAATAATCATCCAATTCTTCTAAATCTTCAGTGTCAATATAAAAACATTTAAGCATATCCTTTCTTTCTGCTAATTGGGGAACTGTATTGCCATTTTGTTTCTCTTCATTTAACCTCTCCTTAAGTAAATTTTGAAAATCAATTACTTCATTAGTTTCTCCAATTTTTGATATCCAGTCTGCTCTGTTACTTCTTCCTGGTATGTAAATTATTTCAAAATCCATATCCATAAGTGCCATAACCCATTTAACAGTACTTGAATTTAATTTGTTTTGTACAAATGTTTGACCCAAATTTTTGTGATCAGTATAAAGAAAAAATTTCTTATAATGCAAGTAATGGGAGAATTTTTGAACTGCCCAATAGACAGCAAAAGCTTCTTTTTGGTAGGCTGCATATCTTAGTTGTGTGTTAATGTACACTTACACATAATGACATATTGATATTTAGACTTTAGGTATAAATCAACTTTAGAATAACTTCTGTTTCATGGGAATTATAATGGTGGAACTTTATAAAGTCTTTTATTTTGTAGAATAAGATTCTAGAACTTTAGAAAGAACTCTATTTCATAGGAAATAGATTCTTTGCCCATGTTAGATGGAGCCACTATGCATTTAACAAAGGAACAAAGAACACAGAAAAGATGCATGTCAAATTTGTTACATTTTAGGCAATACCAGATGCTACCTAAGCAGGCCTGTGCTGCAGTGGCACATGTTGGCCATGTGGTGTTCATCTCATCATTGTATTCTATATGTGTGATATAATAGTCTTTCATATTTTTGTTACTTGTCGATTATGAGACTGCTATATTTTGCCCTCCTAATCCTTTGACCAATTGTACCCAAGCTTTGGGAAATGTATAAAAGGAAATACATTTCCCAGCTTGTCAGTTCAGTTCTGTAACCATTAGCTGGCTGTTTAAACTTACTTGTTTAGAACTAGAAACTCATTTACTCAATACATAACCTTTGGATGAAATATTGGTGTTTTATTGTTTAATTTCTACGAAAATTACATTTGTTAATACTGATTATGGATGAACTTAAAAGGTTCTATTTGTTTGAGTAATTTGGTGAATTGATAAATGATTGAAGAGGATGAATACTGTTCTGAAGAAGCAGAAATTCCAACAATTACAATACAACAAAGTACAGTACTGTATCCTACAAAGTAATTCCAGTGGAAATGTACAATTTTACAAGGTCAATACTTGTTTTATCTATATAAATTTATAGAACACTTATATCCCATATCAGTCAGATTATAACATTTCCTAAATTTTCTTTGAGCCTACCAATTTTTATGCCTGTCACTTTTAATCAACAAATGCATCATAAATATTATGCCTTCAATCTGGGATTTAACCCAAAGAGTGTCTACAGTAATAGAATATTCCTTTAAGAATTTTCTCTGTCTAAAATGGTAATGCCTCCCTTTGCAGAGAAAAATGCAGTTTGTCGAAACCCTCAAAACATATACAGATCTCATCTAGTTGACAGATATTCATTTGGTGGAGACTATTCAGTTTTACTCACTGTACAGACATTTCTGTTTTGGAACTCTAAGAAAAATTGAATTTTACAGAAAGCTAACAGATAAAAGTCATATTGGGATTTAGCAAAGCATGGCAGATTTATCAGGAATTAAATATAAATTAATTTCTCTAACCACACTGTTCAAACATTGGAATTAAATGATGCGATCCCTGTAGAAGAAAATGAAAAGAGTCAGCAAAAGAAGCTTTAAATCATTTGCATTGTGAAATTTTGTGAAGTGAAGCTATTTCAGAAAAGGACATTTTCTGAGTTGCTTCATCCCCTAACCCTGATCTGAAGTGTTATTGAACTACTTCCTACATTCTTGGGTATTTCGGTTAGTGTGTTTGGTTTCCACAAGGTGGCAGAAATATGTTGTATGAACAGCGTACTACCAGACTTAGATCATGCCTCATTTTAATAGAAAATAGATTTCTTCCTGAAAAAACTGGTAAACATTTTGTTTGAGTTGTTTAGAAAAATTACAATTGAAAAAGTAATTCAACAAAGCATCTGCTTAATTGTCACTTTCTATCACATAACTTGGATGTTGTTGAAAAAACTGACAGTTTTGGCCCAGCTCTGGACAGTGTTTTAAGCACTTCATTGTCAAGCAGTTGGAATGAACAGTTGATTGTTTTCCTCCTCCTCCTTCTCTTCCACCTCTTGTTACCTGAAAATGCTTTATATTTTATGCTGAAAATTAATAGAAAACAAGCCGAATAAGTATGAGTGACAATCTCCATAACAACAAAATTGATCAATAAGAAAATGTATAGAGATATAAATAGAACATATATAGAGGGTAATTTTAACTTAGTTTATTGGCTATTTATGAGTTTTTAGATTTAGTGAGGCAGGGTTAAGTAATAACTAGAATAGAATATAAATGATAAACTGAAAATTGAATTAGTTTCTCTTAATGTTTTTTGTCCTACTTTTGCATTTTTTGTGTCATTGGTGTGTTCAATATTAAGTAAATGCGTATGTCAAAACTATTGATCAAGGCAGGTAGTGGTATTTATTGGCTAACTTCATAAAATAAGCTACCTTATCTGCTATTTTTTCATTCATAAATTTCTTCTGAAGAAATCTTTTCATTTGAATGTATCATTAAAATCTCTTATTTTAAAGGGAAAATATGAATACAACGGAAGCTGATAAGGTAAGGGAGAAATATTAAACTTTAACTAAAACTCTAATTATGACGAGTATTATGTGCTGATTTTTCCTTTTTAGGCTTCAATTTCAGTGGTATTTGATAACATCCATGAACCAGCTTCATGCCAAACACTCCTGAAGTCTACTACAACTAGTTCTTCTATTGTAATGGATACACTTCCTCCTACTATGGCTACTGTTACTGGAGGAGAGCTTACAAAAGTTTAAATCAAGAGCAATCGTCTGCGAAAATCGTTTCTAAAACATCACTTAAATGGTAAAGTATACTATGGTCTAACAGCAATGATTCTTGGACTTGTAATTATGATTGTTATTGTTTATACAAGTTATTATTACAAGTATAAGATGTCATAATGTTTTAAGATACAGATTCTTTTAGATGGGCTGAAACATTAAAGCATGACCATATTTAGAAGTTGCTTTTGTCTTAGAATGTTTTGTCCAGGTACCATAAATGTTGACTTATTTAGAAAAATACTAACATTTGTGCTAAGGAGTTGGTTTTACTAGATACATATTTTATTTGGCAAAATAAAATCCTCAATACCTACTCTTTTTTTAAATGTTAATTATTAATTGTGAATTGAATATTCAAAATGCTTTATTGTCAAAAAGATAAGTATTTGGTTTATGCTAGTGGTCAATATTTTACATAATTTTTTAAAAGGCTGCAAAGTTACATTAAACTTTCACTCAACGACTAAAAAGTAATCACACTAAGCATAGTGGATTTAAGGATGCCTAAAAGCAGCAATGACAACTAGGAATGCTCAAAAATCTCATTATGTATTATCTCTACACAAGCTTTGAGTTCTGCTATGAAATGCTAGAATTAGAATTTACAATTGAACAATAGGTTCTTATATGCTTAAATGTAAACCTGATTATTTATTGTGGAAGGCTCTTTAACATCAGTTGAGATTGTAAAATACTTTAAAATCCCATAAAAATGAATTAAGCCATCTTCAGAACATATAAACTGCAGCCAGCAATAACAGAAATTATAAGAGTTAGTCAACATATGAAAACATATATATCTATAAGAGTGAACTTTCTGGAATTAACATTATCAATTCTCACAGAAATCTCCTCGTTTGAGAAATCAAAAACTTGTAGTGTGAGTGCAAAAAAGGGATAGCCAGCTCTTACTGGTTGTGCTAATCCCTAACCTATAGTGTTTTGAAGTCTGATATATTAATTCCATCAATACAAATTCATAAATTGTTTATAGAAAACATAAATATTTCAATTTTGTCTTATTAAGAATTCTACATGAAAGCAAAAAACATAATGAGTTTTTCAAAATGTCAATTGTTAAAAATCTATAAACCCTTTCAAATTGATTTTTAATAAAATGAGAGAAATAAATGATGACATTAGTTATAATTTTTGGTCATTTTTATATTTGTATCTATGCACCTGTTGCTAATTTGTTAACAGCTGTTAATGGTATTTTCAATCCAATTTTTCTCTCTTCTGTCAGGTGTACTCATACTGAAGATGACAGTAAAACTTGGCTTATAGTCCTATTATTCAAACTATAAGAATTTTAAATAGATCTGGTTCTACTTCTACCAGATTGCGTGATTTGTTCATTGGTACTCAACTATCAAGAGATGTATCAGTTGTATAAAAATAACTTTCAACCATTTTCTTCAATTGGCACTCCAGTTTCTGCTGCAGGATGTGTAACAATGACGTACAAGAATATGCCCCACTACTCAACTGCAATGATAATTTACAAAACTATTTCTGGTTTTTTGACAATTTGCCAACCGGAAATATGGAATTTGATTAATATTTCTAAAAATAAACCAGCAATAACAGCTCATGTTGATAATGGTAGGCCATTTGCAGCTAATGATGGTCAGTGCAGTTCAGTAAGCTCTGAAGGTGGATTCTGGTGTGCTGAACCGGATAAAATAAACCTTCCATGGTGCAAGTTGATTTGGGAAAAGATTCTGTTGTCTTTGCTGTTACAGTTATTGGATCCAATTCAATTGAATTTCAAATAGAGAATCTTCGTATTGGTTTTTCAAAGAATAGCAATGGTCCAACAAGTGGAATTTTAGTTGAATGTGGCTACAAAGATGGAATTGTACCAGACTATTTTACAATGAGATGTCCGCAATGGACAATTGGTCATTTCTTATCAACAATTATTGACCCTCAATCAATCACTAAAACATTAGTTCTATGCCAAATTGATGTTTTTTGATATAATCTGGACAAAAAATTTATACTTTACATAACTTTTCATAATGAAACCAATTATTTCTATACTAATTATTCAGCTTCAAATGATTGCCATGGCAACATAAAATTCTCCATAGATTTGTTGAGTTATTCAATAAATTGGTTTAAACTTAGGATGAATGGTGTTGGAATAGAAAGAGAATGCATTATGAAATATATTTTTGCAATAATATTTTCACAAAATGAAAATAATGAAAATATAAATCAATGTACACTTTCATATACTGACAATGGTTATTTAAAAGCTTGAGATATGTATGATACTTGTATATTTCGGGGTCGATATGTATTCAATATATATTTCAATGTTATTGTAGTATGAATAATTGTCAATCAGTTGTATTATTCTTTTCTGCAAAGCAACATCTGATGTCTAAAGAAATTTTTACCTTTATTGATTTGTTGAAATAGTTTCAAAAATTATTAACCTATTTCTTTTTTTAGTTTGCAAAAAAAAAATTCAAACTTATGAATCACTTTGTAAAAATTTATGATAATTTGTAAATTTAATTCATAAAATTAAAGTCACAAGAGCCAATCTGATTATTAACTGTCTCAGGATTCAAGTTTTCCTCCAAAAGTATTACTTTATTTTCCCAAACATTTTGTAGATTCTCACAAGTTTCATGAACACTGAATGGAAAAACTTCTTGTAATCTACAGGAGACTTGTGTTCATGAATTCTTTGGGGAAGTATAGGGTGGATGGACACTGTGAACTATCTCATCAATGGTTTCATAAAAGTTTTCATTATTGTTTAGCTTTTTGAAGTTTTTGCCAGAGGAGAAGGTGAACATGTCTATATCTTTTGTGGGAGTCACTGACTTATATTGTTTCATTTTCTTCAGCTAAGAAAATTACTTCCTTTTCCACTATTTCAGCTGATACTACTTCACCTCCATTTTCATTTTTGCTGTTGCTCAGTTCATGTCCACATTCAATTAATCTTTCATTTTTGTTATCTTTGTTTTCCCATTTAGGGAAATTTCACTAAAAAACTCAGTATCTTTGATTGATTGTCGTTGCTGTTGCACCTGGAAGAAGAAAAGAAGTAAGTAATCTGATGGTTGGATAAATTCAAGGGTAAAAATAGCAAAAACAAATAGTGTAAACCAGAATTTCTTTGTTAACTTGTTGCTGCTGCATACCTATTGCATTCTTCTTTGAGGGTGATGATCATATCTGACTGGTGGAGGCTAGAGTCATCCTTCATTTCCAATGTTACAACAGATGCATTGGATTGACACCTTGTTGGCTTATCTGGACCATAACTCAGAAAGGGAAACAATATTGGATTGGATCCTGTTCACCTATGCCCAACTTTCTTCTATCCTTTCCAATAGGAAGAACAAGATCAGTCACACAGTATTACCAGTCCATGGGCCATCATACTCACAACAAGGGTATTGGAAACTATTGAGGTTTGCTTGGCAGTGTAGCATCTGGCATACTCATTCAATACTTCACTTTACAGGATATAAAATAATATCAAATACTTATAGAAATGATCAGGAAAATCTTGATTCTGTTCCATCCTTTGACTTGGTATCTCGACTGAAGTGAATTTTAGCTCTCATATGGGGTGATTATGAGGCTGTGCAGCAAGCACTTATGTTGGGTAAGATTCTTGATATAGTAGACAGTTTTCTTTGAGTGTTTGCTCTGCAAAATTTGCAAGAAATAGTAAAAATAAACAGATAAAATTTAGGATAAAATTATCCAGAGATATCAGAATGTATACTATCTTCAGAAATTTTAAGCTTTTCAACCTTACACATTTGTCTCTGAGAATTAAGACAATTTCATTCTTAGAAAAAGAACATCAATGCAGTCTGTGCAACCTCTACGAACAGCCCATTAAATGGCCATTTGGCTAGTTTTACTGTCTTAAATGTCAACTGTAACAGCCTTTTAACCTCTGGCTTTGAGTAAACTTTCCCATTTTGCTGCTTTGAAATCCATGTGTTCCCTCTGTAAGAAAAGAACAAGGTATTGTATTAAAGTTACTGGTAACAAACATAAAGACATTCAAAAATTCTTTGTCCTGGACATTGAGAAAATTGACACTAATCCAAATTGAATGCTTTTTGGAAACCAATTGTTTATGATTCCATTTTTTTAAAAACACCAAAGTCATCTGGTTTGGGGCCGACAGAAAACGTCCCCAAGTGAGATTTTTGAAAGCAACATTTCGGATTGAAAAATGATATAGGAGGGGTAAAGTAGCTTTTGATTTATAGTTAGGGGGGTTCCATCTAAGGGTTAGGAGCAATCAAAAAGGTTAAGGAGAGACAAGGGCTAGGTTAGGGTTAGGGTTAAATCATGAATTTGGGGACGTTTTTTGTTGTATCCATCTGGTTTATGCCTATTGTTTTGAAATTTGTCCTTGATTTTAGACAATCAATTTCACAAAACTAAAATTCCAACAACTTGGTAAAATATCAACTGACAGAACAGTATATTTTCAACAGCATTTGTTCTACTGATGGTATTTTCTCACAGAGTTGTTGGCATTACATATATTTGTCCAACTTATAATTGAATTAGCTTGCCCAGATTGTGGGCAAGGTACAATTTAAATAGTTTAGCAAAGGTGTGGTCAAATGGTAATTGAATTACCCTTTCTAAATGTTGAACATAGTAACATCCTGTTACTAAATAAAAATGTAAACTAGACAGTTACGCAGTTGCAAAGTGATGATTGGACACTAGAGAAAAGTCTTCAAGTATATACCTCCTCACTGCTTTACTCCAACAAGCTAACATCAACCAGGGAGGATCAATTGGAACCAACATCCACTAGGACCTTGCTGTTTCCCCAACCTTGAACACTAGTTTGGTAACTTCCCAATCTACTGTTAACCACCACTTACTCTACTATTGAACTTTCATACTGTTACTTGTCTAAGTATTCTATTTTGAATACACCACTTCAAAGAAAACACTTTGTTTAAAAACACCTACTGTTATACTTTGCAAATCCATAAATTACCAAGACACACTTAAACTAGGTAGGATTGTAGATGTAAAGTAGTGATTGGGTAACATAAAAAAGTCTACAGATATGTCATAAACTTGAAATTTTTTACACTTTAAAAGATTTTACAACTAGTTCTCAACATATTTTCAACAATAGCTAAAATTCTTTAACAATGCATGACTAAAAATAAAAACAACATTTCTCTGCCAATATCATTTGTATTTATTACAATCATAAATCTTTAATTATAACACATACACTATCAATCAAATCCATTAACATCAACTGAAAGAAGGAAATGATATTATCAAACATGACAAAACTAATCATTCCCATTGAGGTCCCATTTTAACCCACAATTTTTTTAAAGAAATCTGTATCATCATTGTGTACAAAAAAGTGTCCTTCAGCTTTTCCTTGATTCTTTAGAAGGCATTCTGACATTATATTATTAAAAACAAAAGCTTTGCAATCTACATGACTTTTACAATGAGTTGCACAAGATTGTATAGTAGAATGTAGAAATGACACAAGCTCATGTCCTTGATAATTTTTTTTATGATGTCTTTCAAAACCCTGAACATTATCTGTGCAAAAGAAATGAGATTAAACCATTGCAAAAATTCAAATTTGATGATCTGGTTTTGAGTTATACCTGCTGGTTTTTTGATGAAGAAATCTGTATCATCATTGTGTACAAAAAAGTGTCCTTCAGCTTTTCCTTGATTCTTTAGAAGGCATTCTGACATTATATTATTAAAAACAAATGCTTTGCAATCTACATGACTTTTACAATGAGTTGCACAAGATTGTATTGTAGAATGTGGATATGACACAAGCTCATGTCCTTGATAATTTTTTTTATGATGACTTTCAAAACCCTGAACATTATCTGTGCAAAAGAAATGAGATTAAACCATTGCAAAAATACATATTTGATGATCTAGTTTTCCACTATACCTGCTGGTTTTTTGATGAAGAAATCTGTATCATCGTTGTCTACAAAAAAGTGTCCTTCAGCTTTTCCTTGATTCTTTAGAAGGCATTCTGACACTTTATTATTAAAAACAAAAGCTTTGCAATCTACATGACTTTTACAATGAGTTGCACAAGATTGTATTGTAGAATGTGGATATGACACAAGCTCATATCCTTGATAATTTTTTTTGTGATGTCTTTCAAAACCCTGAACATTATCTGTGCAAAAGAAATGAGATTAAACCATTGCAAAAATACAAATTTGATGATCTGGTTTTGCTTGATACCTGCTGGTTTTTTGATGAAGAAATCTGTATCATCATTGTGTACAAAAAGGTGTCCTTCAGCTTTTCCTTGATTCTTTAGAAGGCATTCTGACATTATATTATTAAAAACAAATGCTTTGCAATCTACATGACTTTTACAATGAGTTGCACAAGATTGTATAGTAGAATGTAGAAATGACACAAGCTCATGTCCTTGATAATTTTTTTTATGATGTCTTTCAAAACCCTGAACATTATCTGTGCAAAAGAAATGAGAATAAACCATTGCAAAAATTCAAATTTGATGATCTGGTTTTGAGTTATACCTGCTGGTTTTTTGATGAAGAAATCTGTATCATCGTTGTCTACAAAAAAGTGTCCTTCAGCTTTTCCTTGATTCTTTAGAAGGCATTCTGACATTATATTATTAAAAGCAAAAGCTTTGCAATCTACATGACTTTTACAATGAGTTGCACAAGATTGTATTGTAGAATGTGGATATGACACAAGCTCATATCCTTGATAATTTTTTTTGTGATGTCTTTCAAAACCCTGAACATTATCTGTGCAAAAGAAATGAGATTAAACCATTGCAAAAATACAAATTTGATGATCTGGTTTTGAGTTATACCTGCTGGTTTTTTGATGAAGAAATCTGTATCATCATTGTGTACAAAAAAGTGTCCTTCAGCTTTTCCTTGATTCTTTAGAAGGCATTCTGATACTTTATTATTAAAAACAAAAGCTTTGCAATCTACATGACTTTTACAATGAGTTGCACAAGATTGTATTGTAGAATGTGGATATGACACAAGCTCATGTCCTTGATAATTTTTTTTATGATGTCTTTCAAAACCCTGAACATTATCTGTGCAAAAGAAATGAGATTAAACCATTGCAAAAATACAAATTTGATGATCTGGTTTTGAGTTATACCTGCTGGTTTTTTGATGAAGAAATCTGTATCATCGTTGTCTACAAAAAAGTGTCCTTCAGCTTTTCCTTGATTCTTTAGAAGGCATTCTGACATTATATTATTAAAAACAAATGCTTTGCAATCTACATGACTTTTACAATGAGTTGCACAAGATTGTATAGTAGAATGTAGAAATGACACAAGCTCATGTCCTTGATAATTTTTTTTATGATGTCTTTCAAAACCCTGAACATTATCTGTGCAAAAGAAATGAGAATAAACCATTGCAAAAATTCAAATTTGATGATCTGGTTTTGAGTTATACCTGCTGGTTTTTTGATGAAGAAATCTGTATCATCATTGTGTACAAAAAAGTGTCCTTCAGCTTTTCCTTGATTCTTTAGAAGGCATTCTGACATTATATTATTAAAAACAAATGCTTTGCAATCTACATGACTTTTACAATGAGTTGCACAAGATTGTATTGTAGAATGTGGATATGACACAAGCTCATGTCCTTGATAATTTTTTTTATGATGACTTTCAAAACCCTGAACATTATCTGTGCAAAAGAAATGAGATTAAACCATTGCAAAAATACATATTTGATGATCTAGTTTTCCACTATACCTGCTGGTTTTTTGATGAAGAAATCTGTATCATCGTTGTCTACAAAAAAGTGTCCTTCAGCTTTTCCTTGATTCTTTAGAAGGCATTCTGACACTTTATTATTAAAAACAAAAGCTTTGCAATCTACATGACTTTTACAATGAGTTGCACAAGATTGTATAGTAGAATGTGGATATGACACAAGCTCATGTCCTTGATAATTTTTTTTATGATGTCTTTCAAAACCCTGAACATTATCTGTGCAAAAGAAATGAGATTAAACCATTGCAAAAATACAAATTTGATGATCTGGTTTTGAGTTATACCTGCTGGTTTTTTGATGAAGAAATCTGTATCATCGTTGTCTACAAAAAAGTGTCCTTCAGCTTTTCCTTGATTCTTTAGAAGGCATTCTGACACTTTATTATTAAAAGCAAAAGCTTTGCAATCTACATGACTTTTACAATGAGTTGCACAAGATTGTATTGTAGAATGTGGATATGACACAAGCTCATTCCTTGATAATTTTTTTTGTGATGTCTTTCAAAACCCTGAACATTATCTGTGCAAAAGAAATGAGATTAAACCATTGCAAAAATTCAAATTTGATGATCTGGTTTTGAGTTATACCTGCTGGTTTTTTGATGAAGAAATCTGTATCATCATTGTGTACAAAAAAGTGTCCTTCAGCTTTTCCTTGATTCTTTAGAAGGCATTCTGACATTATATTATTAAAAACAAATGCTTTGCAATCTACATGACTTTTACAATGAGTTGCACAAGATTGTATAGTAGAATGTAGAAATGACACAAGCTCATGTCCTTGATAATTTTTTTTATGATGTCTTTCAAAACCCTGAACATTATCTGTGCAAAAGAAATGAGATTAAACCATTGCAAAAATTCAAATTTGATGATCTGGTTTTGAGTTATACCTGCTGGTTTTTTGATGAAGAAATCTGTATCATCATTGTGTACAAAAAAGTGTCCTTCAGCTTTTCCTTGATTCTTTAGAAGGCATTCTGACATTATATTATTAAAAACAAATGCTTTGCAATCTACATGACTTTTACAATGAGTTGCACAAGATTGTATTGTAGAATGTGGATATGACACAAGCTCATGTCCTTGATAATTTTTTTATGATGACTTTCAAAACCCTGAACATTATCTGTGCAAAAGAAATGAGATTAAACCATTGCAAAAATACATATTTGATGATCTAGTTTTCCACTATACCTGCTGGTTTTTTGATGAAGAAATCTGTATCATCGTTGTCTACAAAAAAGTGTCCTTCAGCTTTTCCTTGATTCTTTAGAAGGCATTCTGACACTTTATTATTAAAAACAAAGCTTTGCAATCTACATGACTTTTACAATGAGTTGCACAAGATTGTATAGTAGAATGTGGATATGACACAAGCTCATGTCCTTGATAATTTTTTTTATGATGTCTTTCAAAACCCTGAACATTATCTGTGCAAAAGAAATGAGATTAAACCATTGCAAAAATACAAATTTGATGATCTGGTTTTGAGTTATACCTGCTGGTTTTTTGATGAAGAAATCTGTATCATCGTTGTCTACAAAAAAGTGTCCTTCAGCTTTTCCTTGATTCTTTAGAAGGCATTCTGACACTTTATTATTAAAAGCAAAAGCTTTGCAATCTACATGACTTTTACAATGAGTTGCACAAGATTGTATTGTAGAATGTGGATATGACACAAGCTCATATCCTTGATAATTTTTTTTGTGATGTCTTTCAAAACCCTGAACATTATCTGTGCAAAAGAAATGAGATTAAACCATTGCAAAAATTCAAATTTGATGATCTGGTTTTGAGTTATACCTGCTGGTTTTTTGATGAAGAAATCTGTATCATCATTGTGTACAAAAAAGTGTCCTTCAGCTTTTCCTTGATTCTTTAGAAGGCATTCTGACATTATATTATTAAAAACAAATGCTTTGCAATCTACATGACTTTTACAATGAGTTGCACAAGATTGTATAGTAGAATGTAGAAATGACACAAGCTCATGTCCTTGATAATTTTTTTTATGATGTCTTTCAAAACCCTGAACATTATCTGTGCAAAAGAAATGAGATTAAACCATTGCAAAAATTCAAATTTGATGATCTGGTTTTGAGTTATCCCTGCTGGTTTTTTGATGAAGAAATCTGTATCATCATTGTGTACAAAAAAGTGTCCTTCAGCTTTTCCTTGATTCTTTAGAAGGCATTCTGACATTATATTATTAAAAACAAATGCTTTGCAATCTACATGACTTTTACAATGAGTTGCACAAGATTGTATAGTAGAATGTGGATATGACACAAGCTCATGTCCTTGATAATTTTTTTTATGATGTCTTTCAAAACCCTGAACATTATCTGTGCAAAAGAAATGAGATTAAACCATTGCAAAAATACATATTTGATGATCTAGTTTTCCACTATACCTGCTGGTTTTTTGATGAAGAAATCTGTATCATCGTTGTCTACAAAAAAGTGTCCTTCAGCTTTTCCTTGATTCTTTAGAAGGCATTCTGACATTATATTATTAAAAACAAATGCTTTGCAATCTACATGACTTTTACAATGAGTTGCACAAGATTGTATAGTAGAATGTAGAAATGACACAAGCTCATGTCCTTGATAATTTTTTTTATGATGTCTTTCAAAACCCTGAACATTATCTATGCAAAAGAAATGAGATTAAAGCATTGCAAAAATTCAAATTTGATGATCTGGTTTTGAGTTATACCTGCTGGTTTTTTGATGAAGAAATCTGTATCATCATTGTGTACAAAAAAGTGTCCTTCAGCTTTTCCTTGATTCTTTAGAAGGCATTCTGACATTATATTATTAAAAACAAATGCTTTGCAATCTACATGACTTTTACAATGAGTTGCACAAGATTGTATAGTAGAATGTGGATATGACACAAGCTCATGTCCTTGATAATTTTTTTTATGATGTCTTTCAAAACCCTGAACATTATCTGTGCAAAAGAAATGAGATTAAACCATTGCAAAAATACATATTTGATGATCTAGTTTTCCACTATACCTGCTGGTTTTTTGATGAAGAAATCTGTATCATTGTTGTCTACAAAAAAGTGTCCTTCAGCTTTTCCTTGATTCTTTAGAAGGCATTCTGACATTATATTATTAAAAACAAATGCTTTGCAATCTACATGACTTTTACAATGAGTTGCACAAGATTGTATAGTAGAATGTAGAAATGACACAAGCTCATGTCCTTGATAATTTTTTTTATGATGTCTTTCAAAACCCTGAACATTATCTGTGCAAAAGAAATGAGATTAAACCATTGCAAAAATTCAAATTTGATGATCTGGTTTTGAGTTATACCTGCTGGTTTTTTGATGAAGAAATCTGTATCATCATTGTGTACAAAAAAGTGTCCTTCAGCTTTTCCTTGATTCTTTAGAAGGCATTCTGACATTATATTATTAAAAACAAATGCTTTGCAATCTACATGACTTTTACAATGAGTTGCACAAGATTGTATAGTAGAATGTAGAAATGACACAAGCTCATGTCCTTGATAATTTTTTTTATGATGTCTTTCAAAACCCTGAACATTATCTGTGCAAAAGAAATGAGATTAAACCATTGCAAAAATTCAAATTTGATGATCTGGTTTTGAGTTATACCTGCTGGTTTTTTGATGAAGAAATCTGTATCATCATTGTGTACAAAAAAGTGTCCTTCAGCTTTTCCTTGATTCTTTAGAAGGCATTCTGACATTATATTATTAAAAACAAATGCTTTGCAATCTACATGACTTTTACAATGAGTTGCACAAGATTGTATTGTAGAATGTGGATATGACACAAGCTCATGTCCTTGATAATTTTTTTTATGATGACTTTCAAAACCCTGAACATTATCTGTGCAAAAGAAATGAGATTAAACCATTGCAAAAATACATATTTGATGATCTAGTTTTCCACTATACCTGCTGGTTTTTTGATGAAGAAATCTGTATCATCGTTGTCTACAAAAAAGTGTCCTTCAGCTTTTCCTTGATTCTTTAGAAGGCATTCTGACACTTTATTATTAAAAACAAAAGCTTTGCAATCTACATGACTTTTACAATGAGTTGCACAAGATTGTATAGTAGAATGTGGATATGACACAAGCTCATGTCCTTGATAATTTTTTTTATGATGTCTTTCAAAACCCTGAACATTATCTGTGCAAAAGAAATGAGATTAAACCATTGCAAAAATACAAATTTGATGATCTGGTTTTGAGTTATACCTGCTGGTTTTTTGATGAAGAAATCTGTATCATCGTTGTCTACAAAAAAGTGTCCTTCAGCTTTTCCTTGATTCTTTAGAAGGCATTCTGACACTTTATTATTAAAAGCAAAAGCTTTGCAATCTACATGACTTTTACAATGAGTTGCACAAGATTGTATTGTAGAATGTGGATATGACACAAGCTCATATCCTTGATAATTTTTTTTGTGATGTCTTTCAAAACCCTGAACATTATCTGTGCAAAAGAAATGAGATTAAACCATTGCAAAAATTCAAATTTGATGATCTGGTTTTGAGTTATACCTGCTGGTTTTTTGATGAAGAAATCTGTATCATCATTGTGTACAAAAAAGTGTCCTTCAGCTTTTCCTTGATTCTTTAGAAGGCATTCTGACATTATATTATTAAAAACAAATGCTTTGCAATCTACATGACTTTTACAATGAGTTGCACAAGATTGTATAGTAGAATGTAGAAATGACACAAGCTCATGTCCTTGATAATTTTTTTTATGATGTCTTTCAAAACCCTGAACATTATCTGTGCAAAAGAAATGAGATTAAACCCTTGCAAAAATACATATTTGATCATCTAGTTTTCCATTATACCTGCTGGTTTTTTGATGAAGAAATCTGTATCATCATTGTGTACAAAAAAGTGTCCTTCAGCTTTTCCTTGATTCTTTAGAAGGCAGTCTGACATTTTATTATTAAAAACAAATGCTTTGCATTCTATAAGGTTTTGGCACAAGAATGTATATTTGAGTTTGAGAACATTTGGAGGTTATGTCCTGAATATTGTTTTTTTGAATGTCTATTAAATCCAATAATATTAGCTGGTGATTGTAAATGTTATAAAAAAATAGTCTTTTGTTAATATTTTTTGTTATATACTAACATGATTTGCAAGTGTATTCTACTTTCAAATATTTAGGAACACCTTGACATGGTTCTCCAAAGATTTCTGAATTGGCTTGTATAGTGCACTGTGTCTTTCCACTACAGAGGGCTAGAACTTTCTCAAAAGAATTTGAGGCAACACAATTGTTTTCTATGACAAAGGCTTTTACAGAAGGTTCTTGTAAGGATGTGTTTGCACATGTATTAAATTCGTTTTTTTCTCTTCCATAAGCAGCTGTCGATATGTTTAATTCGTGATTAGCATCACATTTCAAATAAAGAGTTTGATTTTCACATGCATTTCCGGAACATGCCCTAATACCTACAAATAAATGATAACATATAACGGACTGTTGTCTGGTGTGAAGTGTCAATAGATAAATACCTTGAATAGTCAAATTAAATACCACCAATAAATAAAGCATACAAAATGCACTCATATTGATGTTGAAAGAAGTTTTTGAAGTATTCTGAGGGTTTACATGTAAGTTTTGTTCTTATATACTTTTTATAAACACTATATTTTTAACATTGTATTGATTCTCATCATTTTAAAATATGTACATACACTACAAATATGTTTAAATAAAACTATGGTTATGTAAATGTTTGAACAAGTGTTGAGTTCATTTAAGTGGAACTGAGCAAGTTTGTGTACTGTTTTTGACAATTTATATATAGAAAATTAATACTTTTGAACTCATGTTGCTTCAAATAATTACCACTAAGATTATTCTAAATATTTTCCTGTAAAATACTATTGGAGAATCTTTTGTATTATTATGAATATTTTATTTTTAAATAAATAGTTAAGTGCTTCATATATTTTTTAATTTTTTTCAAAAAGACTGCAAATTTTTCTCCTCTACAAAATCTCCCTATTCATCCTGGAGAACATTTACACCATTATATTAGGGTCACCCAGAAAATTCTCGCCATTTGTGTCTAACAGCTAAAAAAAAAGTTACAAAATATACTTATTCATAAATGTTAATTAATGTCTTAGGTATATCTATTTAGCTTCAAATTCCCCATTAATGTCAATGCATATTTTCCACCTGGCAGGAAGCATATCAATTCCTTTGGCAAAGTATAAGGGTGGTTTGGAGCTAAAAAGAGGCCCTTACTGCTGTTTTTAATTCATGATCATTTTCAAATATTTGTCTGTGAAGATGGTCCTTCAATTTTCAGAAAAGATAATAGTCTGATGGAGAGAGATCTGGGCTGTAGGCTGGATGAGGCAGCATTACCCATCCAGTTGTTTGAAGATATTGGCTTGTTTGTAGGCTGATGTGAGATCTGGCATTGTCTTGCAAAAAAATCACTTCTCCATTAGGCCTGATTCTATTTATTCTTTGTTTTAATTGCTTTAGAATGTTGATGTAAATTTCTGAATTTATTCTGATGTGTGAATTTAGAAATTGCAGGTGAATAAGCCCTTTCCTATCCCAAAACACACATGCCATTAGTTTGTCTGCTCACTTACCTGCCTTAACCTTAACCAAACTAATCTTCCCCTAAAATGTTATTAGGGTAGGCTATATTTGTAAACAGGTACATTCAAACCTGACCCCAAGTTAAATATTTATCTTTTAAACCTGCATAAGAAAATGCAAGAATATTTGGCCAAATGTATATCTTGATTAGTCATGCTGAAGGTTCATTTTTAATTATCAGTTTTCTCCTTCAGCTTATGTAACTATAAATGTCAACGATGCTGTAATTAACCATTAAAATTCTCTTAAATTCAAGTATATACCTATAGGATCTCTTGAATCAAGTGTTGAAGCAACTGACTTTTATTCTTGTTTGAAAGGAGAAATAATATACAAACTTGACAAGACTCAAACCATATGGGATTCTACTTTGAAGTTAGAGAAAATTTCTAACTATAAGGTATCCAGTTATCAATCAGTTATCATTATCTATTTAAAGTACGCAATAGAAGACATTTAGGTGAAATTTTTATTTAACTGTAATGAATTTCAAATATTTATTACAACTGATAAAGATACTTTTATTTCTATAAAAAATAATTGTGAATACCAAGACAATTTTAATTTATCTTAAAACTCTTAATACTATCTAGTAATGATGAATTAAAAGTTATATTTGATATTTTTGAAGAAAAATTTACTTGTATTATTTTTAAATTGAGCAAATATTATACAAAATTGAATACTCCAGCACATTTTATTTGTTATAAAGAGGAATATGAAAAATGTGATTCATTGTAACTGTTCATATGGTAATTAATTCCACTGTAGTGACATATTTACAAGAACATTTCATCCCAGGATATTCAGGCCCATCATAGGCCATTTTGGCTCTTTTGTGGACATTCAGGCCTACTTTTTGACATTTTGACAAAGGTTTTCATTACATACTATCAATACAAAAAAACAAAATATAAAATAATCTTGAATTTAATAATACTAGTTCCCAGTATGTCATGATGTCAGGCAAAGAAAATTATTTAATAAATTAAAGAAAAAAGATATTGTGCACTTAAAAGTAGCTTACATAAGGACTATTTAAGAATAAAAGGTGATTGGGACAATTTATCATGAATTTTAAACATTCAATTATAGGTTATTAAAATAATAGAATTGTCTATTAAATAGGCTTAATCATTTAAATATGACAAACTTAGAATGGTGAAGGTCACACAGCTGTTGTTTACCACAGGAAAACAACAGCAAATGTTTAAGGAAATTGTTAGATTTGATAAGCCTTAGCAGATGTTTGAATTGTAGATTAGCATATGTTCACTATTTCTTTAAGAATTCTTGTTATATTTGAATGATGAAAGTGATATTCCTATCAGGGCGAACAGAAAATGTCCACAAGTGAGATTTTTGAAAGCAACATTACAGATTGAAAAATAGCTAGAAGAAGTAAAATAACTATTGATTTGTAGTTAGGGGGTTCCATCTAAGGGTTAGGGGTAATTAAAGAGGTCAGGAACAGATAAGGTCTAGGTCTTGGGGTTAGGGTTTGCCAATCCAGTATAGACTGACAAGCCCCCAATTGCACTCATGCTGGAAGCTTGTTTGGTTGTGGCTGTTTTGGAGCTACTATCTAAAGTAGTAGTTCCTAGCCTAAGCTGTTCACTGTATCTCCAACACAACCCAAGTCCAAACTCTCTAAAATGGTGAAGAGAATCTGAACTGCAGTGTTTCCACTAAAAAATCTCACAAAGAATCTCACTATATTTTGGAGGTGTTCCTCCTTCCTCAGGTGAGATAAGAGAGGTCTCAGTTAGACTATCACCAGTCTGATTACTGATAGACTTGGTGTATGGAAAGTTCGATACCAGTGTCACTGACTGTCCTCTTGTGCCCTGATTGGCCCACTTTGGGACATTTCCGCCCAAAATATTTCACCCCATGTTAGAAAAATAACAAGAAAAAACATGTAATTTTCAATTGCAGTTCCACATATATATATATATATATATATATATAAATCATTCAAAAAATTTAAAACATTTTCATATTACCAGTTTTCTTTTTTTCAAAAGTATATTTTACTATTTTTTGCAATTTCCTTTTCCTGTTGTGAAAAAAGTAGAGGGTATATTTGTTTTCTTGCATTTCATCCTAGTTTTGATAGAAACCACAGCATGAATTTGAAAAATTGTTGGAAGTGTGGATTGAGGTTCCACTGGACTCAAAGAAAATTCAGATGCAAGTTGTGCAAACATTTTTATCATGCAAAATGTTCAAAAAGTAAGTGTATTCTATTAAACTTTCCAATGTTTAATGCTATATCATTTATATATTAAGATACAGATTATTGCTCTGATTGTCATGATGTCAGGAGAAGACAATTATTTATTAAATTGAAGAAAATAGATAATTATCATCAGAGTGAAATTCTTCAAGAAAGTGATATTGATATGGAATCTTCAATGGATTATGCAAGTGAAAGCAACACAAATCAGGTAATTTCAATGCTTAAAAAATATTAATATCTCACTCTAAATTATTTTTGACAGCTGAGACTCTCTTTTGACTTTAATTCAACTGAATCATCAAATATTGAAAAAGAGGTGAATCTTCCTGATAATAGGCAAGATATGAGAGATATGAAAGTTGACATCAGTGATGAAACTTCATTTGAGATGGATGAGCAGTGTAACATTATGGAAACTGAAACAGATGAATTCAAAATTGTTGTTGGTGGAAGTACCAAAGGTAAAGACTTACTTCTACACAAAAATTGTTCATATTCCATGAAAAGAAAAACTGAGAGTTCAATTACCTGGAGATGTACTCAAAGATATGCTAAAAATCCTTGTCCTGCATACATAATACAAAAAGGATCAAATTTCATTGTAAAAAATGGAAACCATCTTCATAAGTTGTATAAAAATCTGGAAAATGTTCTTCAATCAAGAATGGATTTGAAAGAAATGGCAAATTGTGACAATAACAAAACTGGTAAAAGAATAGCAGAAGATATTATTCTTAAATTTAAAGATAATATTGAAGACTTACCAGAATTAGAATCACTAAGAAGAAAAGCTTCCAGATATAAAGAGAATAGAAGACCAAAGCATCCTAGAGATTTACACTTTGAAATAAATCTAGATGAAATTCCAATGGATTTCTTATTGAAAGATATAAAAGAAAAGAAAAATCAATGTATTATATTTGGTACAAATCATCAAATAGAATTACTTGAATGTTGTAAAATTTGGTTCATTGATGCAACTTTTAAAGTTGTTAGAGATCCATTTTATCAACTCTTTTCAATTCATGGATTCTTGAAAAAACATGATGAATATCAGCAGGTTCCATTGATTTATGTTCTGATGAGTAGCAAAAAGAAAAACTGCTATATTGCTGTTCTTCAGGTTTGAAATTTTTCAATATGATATTCACTTTTAATTTAACTCCTTATAAATGAACACAGGAGATAAGAATATTACTGAATGATAAAACACCCAGGAAATGTGTTCTTGATTTTGAAAAGACTATATGGATGTCACTTAAAGACCAGTTTCCTAATTCTGACCTTCAAGGATGCTCTTTTCATTTCAAGCAAGCAATTTTGAGAAACATTCAGGTAGATTAAACAATACTGCAAACAATTAAATATTCATAGAAAATTTTTTGTTAGAAACTTGGATACATTAATGATTATAAAGAAAATGAATATAAAGGGAAAATGTTACAAAAATTGATGTGTTTGGCCTATCTTCCAGCAAAATTTGTTGAACAAAAGTTTTTTCAAATAAAAGAAGAACTTTGTGAAAAGAAATTGTTTTCAGATTTGCTTGATTATATTGAAGAAACATTTATTAAAAGCAGCATTTGGCCTCCTAAATTCTGGTCTGTCTATCAATTGGCTGTGAGAACAAACAATCATGTTGAGGCATGCCATTCCAGGTTTAAAAAAAACTTGAACATGGATGAGAACTTGTAATCTCTCAT